TTGAGAGGTTTCAATTCTTAGATTATGAAAAGAAAATCAACAAATTGAGATTTCCTCAACCAAAAAGAAGAAATTGCAGATCAATAGAAGGGAAAGCAAGAGTGAGCAAGCCTGGTTTCAGCTGAATGGTTTGGGAAAAATTCAAATATGGGATTGGGGTAATCTTCTAATACGAATCATTCTCATATGCAGTTGATATGTAATGATTTATCAGATCAATATTCTTCCGTTGGGTATTCTTCCCATACAAGCGAGCTAAAGGATAATCTTGCATTGATCTCTAAAGCCGTGCTGGGGTAAAGGGTCTTTATCACTGCCAACGATGGAATAATAAAAATCAGCTGAAAAAGTAGCTCTACACTTGCTTTTTCAACTGATAAGAAATATCAGCCCAAGTAGCTAATTTGGATTGTGTTTGGAGAATTTTAAGCACTTTCAGGCTTATCAGACTATTTTTGGGGCTCCAAACGGCCCCTTAATATAAGTCTATTACTACTACTATTATTTTCTCTAGCCCAAGGCCCTATCAGCGGCACACTTTATTCCATTAAGCCACCCGTATACTTCTGTATCTGTGGCTGGAGTGTTCTTTGCTGAAATCTTCCGTCATCATGGCTTACCTGAATCTATTGTATCGGACCGTGATAAAGTTTTCATCAGTGCATTTTGGCGCGAATTGTTTCGTTTGGCCGGTACAAAGTTGGCTTTCTCCTCAGCTTATCACCCGCAAACTGACGGCCAAACAGAGATCGTTAACCGCACTGTGGGCATGTACTTGCGCTGCTTAATGAGTGATTACCCTCGGGAATGGGTTCGTTGGCTTCCATGGGCTGAATATTGTTACAATACATCTTATCATACGGCGTTGGGTGATACTCCATTTCGCATTGTGTATGGGCGTGAGCCTCCCAAACTCGTGGCACATATACCGGGAACAACCCAATTAGAAGGGGTCGAAAGGGAGCTCATTGACCGTGACATCTTGCCAACTACAACAAGAAATCGTTTAATGCAAGCGCAACAGCGGATGGAACAACAGTTTGACAAGGGCCATCGTGATCTATCATTTGAAATTGGAGACTGGGTATGGCTTCGGGTACATCCTTATCGGCAGGTGTCACTGATCAAGCGCCATCATAAGCTCTTACCTCGCTTTTATGGGCCGTTTCAGGTGCAGGCGAGAATTGGGGCAACTGCCTACCAGCTTCTCCTACCAACAGATTGTCGTATCCACGATGTTTTTCATGTTTCATTGCTCAAACCCCATCACGGGCCTATCCCACAAGGTATAAGAGATTTGCCACCACTTGACGACCCTCGTTCTTCTCTTCAACCTGCTGCAGTTCTCCGCAGCCGGAAACATGATGGCCAGATGGAACTCCTGGTCCAGTGGCAGGGGCAGCTTAAGGAAGAAGCTTCATGGGAGTCATTGGATACATTTCAATCCACATTTCCCGACTTCAAGCTTGAGGACAAGCTTTTAATTAACGGGGGGAGTGATGTTATGGATCCATTCTATGGACAAGTATATCAACGAAGAAGTAGACGGAAAGGTTCAGGGGAATTGGTTGGTCAAATCGGGGAAGATCAGAATGCTCTAGATGGCTGACCATGAGAATAAGGAAAGCTGGCAGATTGGCAACTGGCAGCATTTATTTAATTAGCATTTAATTAGTTAGATCCAGTTATTTCTTATTCTTAGTTATTTCCTAATTCAAATTAGGAAACTTCCTATTATCCTTATGCTTCCTATTAGGATTCTTGTAATCTCTATGTGAAAGACATTAGAATATACTTTAGAATATACTTTAGAATATTCTTCTATCCTTAGAATATACTTTAGAATATTTTAGGAATATACTCTAGGATATTATTATTGTATAGAATCTTATAGGAATATTCTATCTTTGTAATGTATATTTATAGGGACTTAACCCTCCAATGAAAAACACAGAAAATCTTTCTCTCCATCTTTATTATCATTATAGTTTATATTTCAACATGGTATCAGAGCCATCTGTTTCTGTTTAGATTTCATATTTCAGTTTAGTTTTCAGATTCAATTTAGTTTGCAGACTCGGTTCTTTCTCAAAGAACCTGAGTTCAGTTCAGAACCTCTGTGCACCACTATCACCAAGAAACTCAATCCAGAACAGAACCTCTCTACACACCATCGCCATTAACCAGACCCTCTATTCAGAACCTCAGTTCAAACAAATTCAGAATCTAGGTATCAAGCAAACTACCTCCATCTCCGCCTGGTCCGACCATTTTCCCGGTGAAATTCCGACTACACCATTCCTGCCGTCTCCAACCAGGCGTTGACAGTTCGCTGCTCCAAATCTATGCCCGTCAGCCATCCGGGAGTATTAGCATCCGCCCGCGCGTGACACACCTTCTCTGGCCAGAGACTTGGTCGGGATTTTCCCACATATTCGCTTGAGAGTCTTCTACCACCAGGTATCATTTACTTCAACAAAGGAACGAATATCTGTGGGAGGAATTCTTGCAGTTGGTCACTGGGGTCTGACATCGGACATCCGCATGATTCTTCGATCCGCTGGGGTCTTGCGCGGTGGGTCTCCCGTCGGATCTCTAGCGCATTCTCTAGCGCATCATTTGTTGTGTTTGGAGTCCGTAGCAGTCAACGCGCATGAGCCAGTAAATTAGATACGGAGTATTTTATTTTCCAGCTTTTGAGTCCACAAAACGGAAAAGCTGCTGTGAGTTTATATTATCTTTTTTTTTCTCGTAATTGCTCACTCCTAAAAAAAAAACTAAAGAAAGAAGAAAAAAAAAGAAATTATGTCTTGTACGGGTAAATTTGACAGAGGAGTAATATGCAATTACTGTAAGAAACCCGGGCACTTGATCAAAGAATGTAGAAAATTGTTGTTCAAAAATCCAGGAAATCGGCTTGCTCATGTTGCTTCCGCTACCAGTTCATCTGATGGATCAGTTGCTATTTCTTCAGACCAGTATGCCAAATTTATTTGCTACCAAGAATCTCTAAAGCATTCCTTTGTCTCTACTTCGGTAGTTGCTAATTCAGGTATTTCAAACACATGTCTTGTCTCCTCATCCTCGCAGTGGGTCATTGACTCAGGTGCCACAAATCATATGACTGGTAATCCTAATTTATTCTCATCATTTCATTCATATTTACCTACTTCTACTGTCACTTTGGCTGATGGGTCTACCTCACCTGTTCTTGGATTCGGTACTGTTGTCCCAACTTCTACATTACCATTATCACCTGTTTTGAGTCTTCCTAATTTTGCATTTAATCTGCTTTCCATCAGTAAAATCACACGTACTCTTAATTGTTCTGTTACATTTTTTCCTGGATATTGTGTGTTTCAGGATCTGTTGACAAAGCAGATCATTGGTAAAGGACATGAGTCGGCTGGTCTTTATATTTTGGATACATCAATCACAAAAGGTATCTCTTGTCTTGGGGTTGGAAATCTATTAGAAGCTCATTACCGATTAGGACATCCCTCTCTCTCACTAATGAAACAAATATATCCTCAGTTTAATAAGGTGTCATCTATACAATGTGAGTCGTGGGAATTTGCAAAACATCATCGTACTAGTTTAAGTCCTCGACTTAATAAACGAGCAAATGGTCCATTTGACCTTGTTCATACTGATGTTTGGGGGGCATGTCCTATTATGTCCAAATCTGGTTTCAAATATTTTGTTACGTTTGTTGACGATTACTCTCGTATGACATGGTTATATTTTATGAAACGTCGATCAGAGTTATTTACTCATTTTTCTGCATTTTGTGCTGAAATTAGAACTCAATTTAATGTTCCTGTTCGTGTGTTGAGGGGAGACAATGCCCAAGAATATCTCTCTGCTCCATTTAAATCTTTTATGCTTCAAAATGGCATTATTCATCAAACCTCATGTGTAGACACACCTCCTCAAAATGGAGTTGCTGAAAGAAAGAATCGACATCTGTTGGAAACTGCAAGGGCTCTTTAATTCCAAATGAATGTGCCTAAACAGTTTTGGGCGGATGCCGTGTCTACCGCATGTTTTTTGATAAATCGAATGCCATCTTCTGTTTTGAATGGTAAAGCTCCTTATCATTGTCTATTTCCAAACAAAGAGCTTTTTCCTATCCCACCTAAAATATTTGGTTGCACTTGTTTTGTTAGAGATGTTAATCCTCATCTTACAAAGTTAGATCCCAAATCATTAAAATGTATTTTCTTGGGTTATTCTCGAGTCCAAAAGGGGTATAGATGTTTTTGTCCGAGTACTGGTCGGTATCTTGTTTCTATTGATGCATCATTTCATGAAAATACACCTTTTTCATCATCTAAGGCAGATATTCATGAGAGTAATGATGATATACTCATTTACACGTTGACTATTCCCGAGTCCACACTTTCGACAAATATTCCACAAGTTACTGTTCCTGACCCTAGGCCTCCCGTACATTTGGTATACACCCGTCGACACAAAGCACCTGATCACCCTCCACCGGCGATACCTGTGATTACTTATCCTGATACTAGTTTGACTCCGATCTCATGTCCTGAACCAGTACCTGCATCTTCAGATCTTGTCTCCACACCAGATCTTGACCTCCCAATAGCACTACGTAAAGGTACACGGTCTTGTACTCATCCTATTTCTTCATTTGTGTCATACAATCAGTTATCTCCTACTTCATGTTCTTTTATTGCTTCCATTGATTCTATTTCTGTTCCCAAATCTGTCAAAGAAGCTTTGTCTCATCCTGAATGGCGTCATGCCATGGTAGAGGAAATGAATGCTTTAGATCTTAATGGTACTTGGGATTTGGTTGACTTGCCTACAGGGAAGAAATCTATTGGATGTAAGTGGGTCTTTGCTGTTAAGGTTAACCCAGACGGATCTGTTGCTCGGATGAAAGTCCGATTAGTTGCGAAGGGTTATGCTCAAACCTACGGTGTTGATTATTCTGACACTTTTTCTCCTGTTGCTAAATTAACATCTGTCAGGTTACTTATTTCACTCGCTGCAACTCATGATTGGCACTTACACCAGTTGGACATTAAAAATGCATTTTTGCATGGTGACCTTAAAGAAGAAGTCTATATTGAGCAACCTCCGGGGTATGTTGCTCTGGGGGAGTATGGTAAGGTTTGTCGACTTCGCAAATCTCTTTATGGTCTGAAACTGATAGGGACCTACCTATTAGTTTAATAATAGAAATAATAATAATAATAATAATAATAATAATAATAATAATAATAATAATAATAATAATAATAATAATAATAATAATAATAGTAATAGTAATAGTAAAAAGGGCTTATATAGTATTTTAGTATAAATAGATGTAATGAGGGGTTAGTAGGGAGGGCTTTTAGACATTAGGTCTTGGGACTGGGAAGATCTGAGAAGACTGTTTCTCTTATCTTTGGGGGCTTCGGCCTTGTTACTGTACTGTTCATCACATACAAATTTTCTCTTGTTTCTTGATATAATCTCTGTAATTGTTCTGGATAATTAGAGGTCTCTAACATTGGTATCAGAGCCATACTTCCTGGAGACCAAGAATCTGAATCATGGAAGAATTTTGTACACCAGAAATGGAGAAGAGGATGGAGTCGCTGGAGAGGGAGCAGACATCGATGATGAAGAAATTAACAGATATGAGAAAAATGGCAGAAAAGATGACCCAACAGTTAGAGGCGATGAACGAATTTCAGGCGAGAAGACGTTCATCAACAACGACCTTCGGTTCGCAGATGCGAATTAATTGCCCCAGGGTATCGCTAAGTGCGCAGACTGTGTCGCGCGAAGAAGCTCCCAGATCGCATCGATCTTCATCGCGAGAGGCTTCTAACAGTTCGCGGACTCGAACTTCCTCTCACAGTTCGAAGTCGCGAACGTCATCATCATCCAGCAGTTCACGACCAAGTCCAACGCGAGTGAGAGAAGAATTCCCATCTTCGTCGCAAGCTGTTTCCCTGAGTTCGCAGGTCTTTTCACCTTTATCGTTCGCAGATTCTGTCTCTTTCAGTTCTCAGTTGTCGACTCTAGCAGTTCATTACCATGCGCACACTTCATCAATTTTAATAGCCGTAGACCAAGCTGTACACGAAAATGGATCACAAGGAACTTTATTGCCAATGATGAACACTGAGTTGAAGTTGTCAGAATTGAAAGAGCAGGAGGAGGAAGTCACTAACACAGATAAGTCAAAAAGGACAGGAGTGTTTGTTCGTGCTGAAACAGAATACTTATCATTTCCATGGAGGGAGAAGTGTGCTGCTTATACTCAAAGTCAGGACCAAAATCTGGTCGGTGAAGGCTTTGAGTTATTATGGGATGCCTTGGCAATGCGATTTGTGAATAATAAGCCACAAACTAGTGCAATTGAAGGATCAATTTTCACTCATTCAGAGGTCAATCCTGGAATGATAATAAAGGGTAAATTTAATATTGCTGACAGTTTTTGTATCATTGTACAATGTGCAAGTGGTGTGTCTGCTCGTTATCTAGAGCTATTGACTGAATTTTTTCCCAAAAACAAAGCTAAGGATGACAGGGAAATAGATACCTATGAGCAGTCATTTTGTATTTCAACTGATGTTTCATTTAGTCAAGAATGCTGTCTTTTTAAACGCCAGCTTGTCAAGCTTATATCTTGGAGCTCCGCAGAGTTTGGATTGGAATGGACAGATAAGTTTGCTCTTGGCAGCAATGTTGAGGGACAAGTTTATAACATAAAGGAGTTTGTTGTGGTCCCTGAAGTTCGTTCTTTAGCTGCAAGAGTTTTTGGCTCTCTTATGAGGAAAAGGGAAGAAGAAAACAGGCCAGACTGGGGTCCTTGGCAGTTAGAAAATCTGACATCGCATGGTAGCATTGTTGTGCACAACTTATGTTGGCTGTTGAAGTTGTATAAGACAAATCCTGCTATTACAAATGATTCTATCATTGATACTAACTGCCTGACAGAATGGATTGTAAATAGAGAAATTTGCATGGGGCTTGTTGCAGACAATGAGTTGAGTAACTTGAATAACATCAAATATGCATCCAGCACATTGATAACTCCAGAATTGAGAATCCTTGAAGATGAAAACAAGGAAACAATTGCAGCTAGTAAATGCTTGGAGGTTACTGCAACAAATGAAATTGCAGTGATTTGGAAGGAACAAATACCAAAGCTTCTGGTCCAGCAAGCAGTTATGTACTGGGAAGGGAGAGGAGCAAGGAAGAGGAAGAAGCAGAAGATTCTGGCTGTCTCCTACCGCCCACCTTGAGGGCAAGGTGGATGTTTAGGGGGGGAGTATTGATAGGGACCTACCTATTAGTTTAATAATAGAAATAATAATAATAATAGTAATAGTAATAGTAATAGTAATAAGGGCTTATATAGTATTTTAGTATAAATAGATGTAATGAGGGGTTAGTAGGGAGGGCTTTTAGACATTAGGTCTTGGGACTGGGAAGATCTGAGAAAAATGTTTCTCTTATCTTTGGGGGCTTCGGCCTTGTTACTGTACTGTTCATCACATACAAATTTTCTCTTGTTTCTTGATATAATCTCTGTAATTGTTCTGGATAATTGGAGGTCTCTAACAGAAACAGAGTCCTCGTGCATGGTTTGGGAAATTCAGTCAATCTATTGAACAATTTGGAATTTGGAATGATAAAAGGCAAATCAGATCACTCTGTCTTTTACAAACAAACAGAATCAGGTGTCACATTGCTTGTGGTGTATGTCGATGATATTGTGATTACAGGGAGTGATAATGCAGGTATTTTGGCCCTTAAGAATTTTCTTCATAGTCAATTCCAGACAAAAGATTTGGGCTCATTAAAATACTTCTTAAGGATTGAGGTTACAAGGAGTAAGAAAGGCATATTTCTATCTCAGCGTAAATATGTGCTTGACTTGCTAACTGAAACAGGGAAATTGGGGGCAAAACCGAGCAATACTCCCATGATTCCTAATAGGCAGCTCACTCATGAAGGTGTGCCATTTGAAGATCCAGAAAGATACAGAAGGTTGGTTGGAAAGCTTAACTATCTCGCAGTTACCCGTCCAGATATTGCCTACTCAGTCAGTGTAGTAAGTCAATATATGTCATCTCCGACAGTTGATCATTGGAATGCAGTAGAGCATATATTATGTTACTTGAAGGGGACACCAGGACGAGGTATTGTTTACCAAAATCATGATCACATGAGAATAGAATGCTTTGCAGATGCTGATTGGGCTGGATCTAAAGATGATAGGAGATCCACATCTGGCTATTGCGTCTTTGTTGGTGGTAATCTCGTCTCTTGGAAAAGTAAGAAGCAAAATGTGGTTTCTCGTTCCAGTGCTGAATCAGAATATCGGGCTATGGCACAATCGGCATGTGAGATAATCTGGATAAACCATTTGTTGAGTGAAATCGGATTGAAGACACCAATGCCTGCTAAACTCTGGTGTGATAACCAAGCTGCTATACACATTGCCTACAACCCAGTGTTTCATGAGAGAACAAAACATATTGAGGTCGATTGTCACTTTGTTCGAGAAAAGATACAACAAGGATTGATCTCTACAGGATATGTGAAGACTGGAGAGCAACTTGGAGATTTGTTCACTAAAGCATTAAATGGAATTCGTGTTGGTTATTTATGTAACAAGTTGGGCATGATAAATATCTATGCTCCAACTTGAGGGGGAGTGTGAAAGACATTAGAATATACTTTAGAATATACTTTAGAATATTCTTCTATCCTTAGAATATACTTTAGAATATTTTAGGAATATACTCTAGGATATTATTATTGTATAGAATCTTATAGGAATATTCTATCTTTGTAATGTATATTTATAGGGACTTAACCCTCCAATGAAATACACAGAAAATCTTTCTCTCCATCTTTATTATCATTATAGTTTATATTTCAACACTCTATAAAAGGGACCTAATATTGTTTAATAAAGGACCTTTGGAGAATTAATTTGATGTGTCTTGACTAGGTCGGGCACCGATTAATTCCTGAAGACTTTTCATATTTATTCCCTGCCACATTTGATAATCTAGTATAACAACATTGATACTAAGGTCTCAGTAGGCTCTTCTTCTCTCCTGAGATCTCGTTTGAGACCTTGGACCTGGTCTTATACGCGAGTTCTTAACACACCACTTGATGCATGACAGTCTCATTGAATGTTCTCTGCTTCTAATGACCCTTATGCCGTGATCATCCCAGAACTGAGAACCCATGTCATCCAAACCATATCCTATATAAAGATGCACTTCTTTGCTTTTGCCTTGAGCTTGTCTCTGTTAGGATCCTTGATCCAAATATATGAGACACAACCAATACTTTCAAGTGAGTAAGTGATACCATTCTTCTTCAGGAATCTTGAACAGAAACCAGATTAAAAAAGAACCAACTCTTTGGCAAATAGTAAAAAATGGACAGTATGAGAATTGAGGATCCACTATTGATTAAGTATGTTGCCTTGTTGATAGAATCTGCTCAGAACATCTTTGGTAGACCTATGTGCAGCCTCATGCCCTTTGCTCTCTCTCAAAGGGTTCTATTCATTCTTTCAACAACCCCATTTTATTGAGGTGTTTCACGAATTGTTTCAAATTCCATTCTTGGCACAATAATCTCTGCTGCTATACTCACCCCCATAATTTGATTTTAAACACTTGACTTTAAAACCAATTTTATTTTCAACAACAACTGTCCACCTTTTAAAGGTAACAAATACATCAGATTTGTTCTTCGGAAAATAAACCCATGCTTTTCCGGTGCAGTCGTCAATGAAGGTGGTGACGTAGTACCTCAATCCGCCTATCGAAGCAACCGATGTGGGCCCATAGACATCTGAATGAACTAGCTCTAACTTTTGAGTCTTTCTCGTCATTCCCGATTTTGCAAAGGTGACCTTTTTCTGCTTACCATAGACACAGGACTCACAGAAACCATCGTTTTCATTTGAAACTATCGTTTTCATTCCTTTCACACTCATGTGCCCAAGTCTATGATGCCACAAACTAGAATCATCCACAACTACATTTATTCCATCTGCCTGCACTTCCATCATGTATAAAGTTCCATCTTTTTCACCACAACAGATAACCAGATTCTCCTTAACTACTTTCCACTAGCCATTTCCGAAGACAACGTTATAACTTATAACCGGCCCATTGAAATTAACATTCTTTTGAGTCCAGTATTATATCTTGCACCCTTCAACATCCAATTTGTGCCAAGGGAAGTTTTGAGAATCACATCTCCCATGCTCGTGATACCTAAGATTTCATCATATCCAAGTCCTGAAATTCCTCATCGTTTCCATGCAAGGTTGATAGGTTATCGATAATTCAACAGTAATTCTGAACTCAAAACTGGCGATGAAGATCAAAGACAAAAGTTTATTGAATAACCGAGAGATAAGAATACAATTCCCAAGTCGTTTCCGACTCCCAGCCCCAGTCCAATCCCAATTTCTGCCTAATTCTTCTTTTCCTCCTCCCTCCTATTTATACTCTTACTTATGGGCCAGCCCAAACCCATGGCCCAAACCCCTCTAATACACTATTACAATTATTTGTTATTATTCTAATATTCTTATTATTATTCTCCTTAGCCCATGATCCTAACATATCTCCCCTCTTGGACAACCACCTTGTCCTCAAGGTGGGTGATATGAAACTGCCTTGATCTTCAGGTTCACCTTCATCCTTGCGCCTCTACCTTCCCAGTAATTCAGCTCGGATAGTCTTCTTCGTTTTTATATCCCTTCAATCTCTTTGTCAGCATAGTGATCCTTCTGACCAATGTTGTTATCTCCTTCACTGCCTGATGTCTGATGTCTTGCAGAATCTCCAATTGAGAATGCAAAGTCAGCTTCGTCACTGTAAGTTGCAGTCTTCACATCATCAACCCAGGAAGGTAAGACACAACTCAGTACACTGCCACCAGGTCCACTCATGTGCATCAGACTTCTCCCAAAAATACAATGAAGAAACTCCTTGATTTCTGTGCTAGGAACTTCACTTCTTTACTCTTGTTCCACAGGTATTTCACAGCAGGAAGAAATAGAAGCAATGACATGGTGGTATGATGCACCATGGTGTTGTAAAATTCTTCCCATGTCTGTATCTCCTGTTGATGTCTTTGCTCTTGTTCCCACATTTTTTCAAAAGAATTGACCTCAGCTCGTTCAAGACCTGGAACCAATTCAAAAACCTCTATTTTGAATTCCATGTTATAATAACACATCAACCTCTCCGCAGGGATCCAAACATACTTGTAACCTTCCAGGAAATATGGGTCTCCAAGATTATCAACAACGAGCTTGATCCTTTCAAAATCTATGGACAATAAGGCACAACATGCTACCCCATATAGAGCAACAGTAAGTTGCTTCCAAAGATCTTCACCATAATTCACCAGTCTCTCACATAAGGCAGATACTAATTGAGGAGTTTCAGCTCCAAATGGCTCACAGAACAAACCAGTTTTAACTTTTTTAAGAACACACATACAAACATCAACTGTTTGATCAATCCACCCCTTCAGACCATAGTCACATAGTTCGCGGAACGATTCGGTACGGGAACGAGGATCGGGAACGCGGTTCGCTAGGTCTAGCGTATCCGGTTCGGAGGGGGGTAGGCTCATTCCGGTACGCGTTCGGTACGGTGTACCACATGTTCGGTACAGTGTACCTTATATTTTGGTACTTTAATAAAATTGAATTACAGATTTTATAAATCATAGATTAGACAAAAACAGATTTAATAAGCATAAGTCATAACATTAAACAAAATTAAAAAAACAATAATATTCCAAATTAATATTCTAGAAATGAAGAGCCTGGTTTGATATTCCGTATGCCTATTAGAACAAATTAGTAGCGCCCGTTAGTAGAAACGAAGAGCCTGGTTTGAAAACATTAATTAATATTCCAGAAAACGAAGAGCCTGGTTTGATATTCCGTAAACCTATTAGAACAAATTAGTAGCGCCTGTTAGTAGAAACGAAGAGCCTGGTTTGAAAACATTAATTAATATTCCAGAAAACGAAGCGCAGAGCCGCTGACCTGTACAAATAATACCGTATTTCAAATCTGCGCGTTCGTCTTCAAACGACGATTCAATTTGGGAAACGGCCTTCACAAACGGGTTTGCTGGGGAAACAGTTGAGGAATGACCTGAGATTCGTTTTCGATCGAGTTTGAAAGCATTTGAAATCGATGCGAACAGCGAATAAGATCGTTTCTAAAAGCGATTGGGATCGAGTTGAAGTACGTTCTGTTTAGCGTTCCAGGTGGCGACCGGATCGCTTTCGTACCGCGATTCGGTACGGAGCGTTCGGTTCGCAGATCGTGACCTTCCCAGCGATTTATGTAACTATGCTTCAGACATTCCTTAATGGCCAATTTGGGCATAGCCAAGAGGTCCCAAAGCAAATTATCCACTTTCAGTCGTGTATCCCGGAAATCAGTCACCTGTTTGGGTTGTATCATGGGCAAAATATAGGTGTAGACTACTCGTTGAACAACCCCATCCAGCCACTCTCCATCACTTTTGACACCACTGGCAATTTTTGGCTTTAACGACCACTCCATGAGATGGTCTCTGTTAGAAACATCAATTACAACCGCTGGATTCTTACAGTCCAGGTTCCCACTGCTTGTAAACAACTGGTATTCGAGAATAAACTTACCAGCCCATCTCAGTCCGGAATTAAAGAATTCCCAAATGGCAGAAAGTGTCAAACTCCCTGTTAAGGCAATTTCCCAGCCAACCCGCTCAGGTTGAACTCTTCGAATCACAAGTACAGGGAAGGACTCCCAGTTACGTTCATTAATAGCCTCAGTGTATGAGCAGAGGATTCCCTCCAATCTATCTTGAATAGCAAACTTTCCTCTGCACACAACCTCCATACGATCTAGAAAACTGTCATGTGTAAACTCTACCCCAAGTGGAATCTTTGCATCTGATTTTCCAGAACAGGGGTGAGCATGGTTCTCTTGTGCCTCTGAATCAGTCCTACTTTCATCCTTAAGCTCACTAAGTTTCCCAAATGCAAGTTTAGTCCCAACAGATGAAAAGGTGGATCTAAGATAGGCAAGGCTGATGTACTGGCCATATTCACCAGGTCAAACCTCAGGAACATGCCAGCGTCACCATCAGTAGTATATCCATCCATTCTCTTTCAATTTCCAGTCATTCTTTTCCCCAATACATTTCGAGTGTTCGTACTAGAAGTAACTCCATCAAATCTGAAACCATCAAACTCAGTCAAGCCTTTTGAAATCCCCTTTGATATCTGACGGTGCACACTTAAAATATCAGTTTTGAGCTGTACAGATTCTTCCATAATATCTGGTGAGTATTCTGTCTGTTGATTAGTATCCTTGTTAGGACTTGATTCCAAAATTGAGTGTTCAGCGGACTCAATACTTGTTGTCGATGAAGTCCCCAGGGAAGAAACTTGAGTCGACTCAGAAACCTTCGACGAAATTTGCGATGACCATTGGTTATGCTCACTTAACCGTGGCGAACTAGTAGCAACTGTTATAGCCTAAGACGAAGCTTGCAAACCCAGCGAAACCAGCGGCGACGAACTCTGCGAAGAAACCTGCGATGGAAATTGCGATATCGATGGTTGATGATCGACTATCAACGGTGGACTGGGCGACACATTTCGCGATTGTGAACTGGGAAAAGCAGTTCGCGATGGCGGACTGGAACCTGCGGCTAATGAAGACAAATTGGAAGATACCGCTATCGACGATCTCGAACTTGTGCTTCTAGAGTTCCGAGACCGCCTTTGTGCTTTCGATCTTCTGCGTGATTGACTATCTTCCCAGTTCCGAATTAGCTCGCGTAACTCATCGCGATTGCGCTTGGCACCCTCACTTCTGATTCTGGCCTCTTCGCGAAGCCTCTCAAACTCGCGCTCCATGATTGCGGACCGCCTCGCCAACTCGCGCTCCACCTTCTCCAATCTTCCTTCCATCGTTCTCCTGGTACCACGATCGTGGCTCTTCTACCAATGATAGGTTATCGATAATTCAACAGTAATTCTGAACTCAAAACTGGCGATGAAGATCAAAGACAAAAGTTTATTGAATAACCGAGAGATAAGAATACAATTCCCAAGTCGTTTCCAACTCCCATTCCCAGTCCAATCCCAATTTCTGCCTAATTCTTCTTTTCCCCCTCCCTCCTATTTATACTCTTACTTATGGGCCAGCCCAAACCCATGGCCCAAACCCCTCTAATACACTATTACAATTATTTGTTATTATTCTAATATTCTTATTATTATTCTCCTTAGCCCATGATCCTAATTCCTAACAAAGGTGAAGCATGAAATCAAGCACCTAAATCTATGATAGGCTTATAAGTGACAAGCCTATTAAATACTTCAATAAAGTCTATCATAGGAGGAATAAGGGAGGGAGTAGCCAGTAATTAGTTATGAGTCGGTTACCTATTAATAAATTCCCTGCGTGGAATATTACTATAAATAGAAGTCTGTTAGCCTAGTAGGGAGGTTGTTGCTCTGAATAATTGGCTGTCAGGAGTTTGGGCTTCTCGAATAGTCCTTGAGCTTGTACGACCTATCTAGAGTTCTCTCTTTCAATAATAGTCTCTTGATCTGTTCTTACATCCATCTGCCGATTTGATATAGTTTGTATAGCTTAATACCAGTGTTCTATCATTGGTATCAGAGCAGTGGTTTTGGCGATCGACTGCGGTTGAGTCATCGCCAGTTTTCCCCAAATTTGCCGTTCGGATCGTGGATGGTTCGAACGAGAGGAAAAATGGAGCAGCGATTGGAAGCAGTGGAACGCAGTCGAACAACAATGGAGGAAACGCTGCTGAGGATGGAGACGATGATGCAGAACATGACAGGGAGGATCGATACGATGAGCGATGAATTCCGTCAGAGAGGAAGATCGCGATCTCATCACAGTCATCGTTCGCGACCTTCACCTAGCCCTGCCGTTTCCAGAGGTAATTCCGCTTACTCGAATCACACCTATCATAGGCGACGTGATGAGTATGCTAGATTTCCAGTGAATATGGCTCGGAAAGTTGATTTGCCACTGTTCAATGGGGATGGGGCTTATAACTGGCTTGTAAGGATGGAGAGATATTTTAGATTGAATCACATTACTGAGGATGATAAATTGGAAGTGTCTGTAGTAGCCATGGAAGACCGAGCTCTGAATTGGTTCCAATGGTGGGAACATCAGACCGAGGAGAAGAATTGGGAATCACTTAAGGAATCGGTTATTCGGAGATTCCAACCTGACCTCCTACAGAACCCGTACGGACCTATGTTGAGCTTGAAGCAAACGGGAACAGTCAGAGATTATAGGGATGAATTTGAATTGACCATAGCACCTCAAAGGACTGTGGATAGAGAGATATTGAGGGGAATATTCATCACTGGATTGAAGGAAGAGGTTAAGGCTGAACTGAAATTATACAATCCTAGATCATTGACTGATGTTATGGATGTGGCTTTACAAATTGAAAGGAAGAATGAGGCTATACAATTGAAAAGACAGGATGTCATGATGGGGGAAAAAGACAAGGGAAGTTCTGATACACTGGAAAAACCTACCAAGTTTTGAAGATTCATGGGAATTGCTGCAGATGATGAGAGAGCACTTCCCAGATTTTCACCTTGGGGACAAGGTGAATTTCCAGGGGGGGAGTAATGATAGGCTTATAAGTGACAAGCCTATTAAATACTTCAATAAAGTCTATCATAGGAGGAATAAGGGAGGGGGTAGCCAGTAATTAGTTATGAGTCGGTTACCTATTAATAAATTCCCTGCGTGGAATATTACTATAAATAGAAGTCTGTTAGCCTAGTAGGGAGGTTGTTGCTCTGAATAATTGGCTGTCAGGAGTTTGGGCTTCTCGAATAGTCCTTGAGCTTGTACGACCTATCTAGAGTTCTCTCTTTCAATAATAGTCTCTTGATCTGTTCTTACATCCATCTGCCGATTTGATATAGTTTGTATAGCTTAATACCAGTGTTCTATCAATCTATGATCCAAGATTCAATAGGACTGTCGATACAACAAATTAATGCATAATCTGAACATTCAGCGACAACGTTAGCATCCTGCCCACCTTTCCTGCTACCCGCTGGACATTGTTTTTTTAAGTGACCGATTTCTTTGCAGTTCCAGCACGTGATGTCCTTCCCCATCTTTGACTGGCATATTCGGGGAAGAAAATGTAAGTTTTACCACATTGGATTTAAGTATTATGCGTGATGTGAAATAGAAATGTGCACTAAAATGTGCATTTGAACTGTGCATTATTTTAACCACAAATGTGCACATTTGAACTGTGCATTATTTTAACCATAAATGTGCAATTCCATGAATCCTAATGTGCATCGTTTTGGAGCGTTCTCATTTTTCACCGAAACTAGACCCTATATATTAATGGATTGGGTTGGGGTTGAGGGGGACAGCTGCCCCCACCGTAGATACGCTCGTGAGTGCAGTTTAGATCAAAGTCATAAGCAAAGTCACTTAAAATTGGAGACATAATTTGATAGGATTATCCGGTACACAGAGTAATCAATAGAAAAATATCACAAAGATATATCAAGAACAAGATCTGCAAACTTTATTGAAGCCCCCAAATGAGTCGAAGCCCCCCCAAAGAAAGAGACGGTTAATCTCAATCTTCCCAAGTCCCAAGACAAGTCTAAAACAGCCTCCCCATTATTACCATCTTATTTCTATTTATGCTAATCTATTACACTTATTATTATTCTTGGTCTATTAGGCCCAATTCTTAACAATCTATTAGGCCTAATTCCTAAGATAGGTAGATCCCTATCAATACTCCCTCCCTAAACAACCACCTTGTCCTCAAGGTGGGCGGTAGGAGACAACCAGTCTTCTGCTTTTTCTTCTTCCTTGCTCCTCTTCCTTCCCAGTACATTACTGCTTGCTGAACCAGAAGCTTTGGTATTTGTTCCTTTAAAATCACTGCAATTGCATTTGTTGCAGTAGCCTCCAAGCACTCACTAACTGCTAATGTTTCCTTGTTTTCATGAGACTCCTCCAGGATTCTCCCTTCTGAGGCTATCAATGTGCTGGGTGCATATTTGATGTTGCTCAAGTTACTCAACTCATAATCTGCAACAACCCCTATGCAAATTTCTCCATTTACCATCCACTCTGTAAGGCAGTTAGTGTCCATGATAGAACCATTTGTAGTAGCAGGATTTGTCTTATAAAACTTCAACAGCCCACATAAGTTGTGCACAACAATGCTACCATGCGATGTCAAATTTTCTAACTGCCAAAGTCCCCAGTCTGGCCACTTTTCTTCTTTCCTTTCCCTTATTAAAGAGCCAAAAACTCTTGCAGCCACAGAACGAACTTCAGGAACCACAACAAACTCCTCTATGTTATGAACCTGTCCTTCAACATTACCTGTCCATTTCAATCCAAAATCTGAGGAGCTCCAAGATATAAGCTGGACAAGCTGGCGTTTAAAAAGACAGCATTCTGTACCAGAGTAAAGCCTTACCCTTTTCAAGCTTTGTTTCGATTTCACCTGTCCATTTGCTTCAATATATTGTTCCGCATAACTTCCTGTTGTTTTCTCAGTGATATAACCTGTAATTCTGAGCTCTCCAGCCACAAAGTCCGCCCCTAAGTTGACAGGTGAGTCACAACTAATAGGACCTTTCCCATTCATATGCACAATAGCAGATAACACAACTGGAGAATAGACTTGATGATCCTTTGAATTACAAGGAGCAGATAATCCCTCTTCCACCTGGGGTTTCAGAATGGCTTTAAGCATAACAGAAGAATGCATCCTAACAGTCAAATTTTGATTGTACACTGCTGTTTCAGCCCCATTATCATCCATAATAATCCCTCCTTTACTCATAACCTTCATCCAAGTTGGTGAACCTCCATGTGAAATCAATGCCCCAGTTTGAACATTAGCATATTACTCCCTCCGCCCCAGAAAATTCTTCCAACTTTCCTTTTTGGGACGTCCCAGAAAATTCTTCCAACTTCACCTTTTTGATTATTTGTGTGGCTCACATTCATTTCACCTTTTTCTTACACAACTACAACCACATATTTCCACTTTATTCCCACTTTCTTAAACTCCGATCCAAGTCAAACTAGGAAGAATTTTCTGGGACGGAGGGAGTATTTCTCAGAGAAAGGATAAAGACGATCTTCAAGAATCATTGGACCAGATCTCTTTTGTTCCGGGAAAATCAAATCCTCATAGTTATCAAAATTAGGAGAAACATAATCTGACCATTGAATAACCTGGTTCAGTTGGTTCCATCTGGGTCTTCTTTGTGGACGGGTAAATTTCTAGCGTTGATTGAGAAACTTGTGAGCGAGAAGTTCTTTGCGACCTCAATGATTCCTGTTTTCGTTGTCTGCTTAATATTCATGCGAACTGAATGAAGAAGTTCTTGATTGCGAACTGGAAGAAGTTCTTCGTGACCTTGATGACTCTGGTAAAGCTGTTTTCCCTGTTTCCTGCCGATGTGTAGGGGGGGGGGGAATCCCTGATCAAGTCTTCTTTTAGAGCCTCCCAATTATCTTCCCTCTTTTGAAAATCCCACCATTGAAACCAGCCATCTGCTTCTTCCCCAATTGCCTTTGCTACCACGTCCACTTTAAATCTTTCTGCAATAGCTTGGACTAGGAAATATCTTTCCATGCTCCCTATCCATTCGTACGCTTCAAGTTCGTAGAATAGAGGTAAGTCCTCCTTTGAACTGGCTGACTTCCGAGAAGCCAATTTAGACGAAGAATGCGAACTGATGTTTGTTGAGGGAATCTGCGAACTTTGATGTGAAGATCGATGATAAGAGTGATGCGAAGAATTATTTGTGTGGTGCGACCTGTGCAATGTAGGTCGCGAACGACTCTGGATCTTATTCTCCCGCCTTGCGATGTCTGTCTCCGAAGATCGATGATGAGAGTCGCGATGCGACCTCGGAGTAGTGTGCGATCGATTCGAACGATCTTTCTTCGTGTTATTAATCTCTGCAAAGCCAGCCTTCATTTTCGCTCTTAATTCCTTGAATTTTGCATTTAATTCCTTCCGACTTCTATCGATCTTCTTTTCCAGCGAATCCAACCTCTCCTCCATTTCTGGTGTACAGAATTCTTCCATAGTTCCAGGAAATGAATATTCTCGATCCTTTGCCTCCAGGAAAGAAGTACTCTGATACCAATGATAGGATTCTCCAGTACACAGAGTAATCAACAGAAAAATATCACAAAGATATATCAAGAACAAGATCTGCAAACTTTATTGAAGAACAATAACACATGGCCGAAGCCCCCAAATGAGCCGAAGCCCCCCAAAAGAAAGAGACGGCTAATCTCAATCTTCCCAAGTCCCAAGACAAGTCTAAAACAGCCTCCCCACTATTCCCGTCTTATTTCTATTTATACTAATCTATTACACTTATTATTATTCTTGGTCTATTACATAGTTACATAAATCGCTGGGAAGGTCACGATCTGCGAACCGAACGCTCCGTACCGAATCGCGGTACGAAAGCGATCCGGTCGCCACCTGGAACGCTAAACAGAACGTACTTCAACTCGATCCCAATCGCTTTTAGAAACGATCTTATTCGCTGTTCGCATCGATTTCAAATGCTTTCAAACTCGATCGAAAACGAATCTCAGGTCATTCCTCAACTGTTTCCCCAGCAAACCCGTTTGTGAAGGCCGTTTCCCAAATTGAATCGTCGTTTGAAGACGAACGCGCAGATTTGAAATACGGTATTATTTGAATCTTCGTTTTCTGGAATATTAATTAATGTTTTCAAACCAGGCTCTTCGTTTCTACTAACAGGCGCTACTAATTTGTTCTAATAGGTTTACGGAATATCAAACCAGGCTCTTCGTTTTCTGGAATATTAATTAATGTTTTCAAACCAGGCTCTTCGTTTCTACTAACGGGCGCTACTAATTTGTTCTAATAGGCATACGGAATATCAAACCAGGCTCTTCATTTCTAGAATATTAATTTGGAATATTATTGTTTTTTTAATTTTGTTTAATGTTATGACTTATGCTTATTAAATCTGTTTTTGTCTAATCTATGATTTATAAAATCTGTAATTCAGTTTTATTAAAGTACCAAAATATAAGGTACACTGTACCGAACATGTGGTACACCGTACCGAACGCGTACCGGAATGAGCCTACCCCCCTCCGAACCGGATACGCTAGACCTAGCGAACCGCGTTCCCGATCCTCGTTCCCGTACCGAATCGTTCCGCGAACTATGTGACTATGGTCTATTAGGCCCAATTCTTAACAATCTATTAGGCACAATTCCTAAGATAGGTAGATCCCTATCATAATTCTTCTCATTTTCTAGCAAAATGAAAATAAAATGAACTAAGAAGTCAACAACATAACAATAAAATGAACGTATCCGAAGTTAAAGCACAAACATTTGGAGTTTGCTATATATTTGATCAACTGAAGATCATATACTAAGAAGTCAACCATTTTGTGTTTCGTCCCCATTTTATTCACCTTGACAACAGAAGACATATATTTTGTATCTTTAAGCTTCCGTTATTTAAAGGCGATATCTCTAGTAATTGCCATGCAATTTTAATTAGGTTGTGACTCAGCTAAATGTAAAAAGAAACTGTAAAAGCAGTATAAGTGTAACAATAGTAGTACACTTTTACATCGGAGTTTATGTATTATGAAACCAAGAACAACTTAAAAAAGCAGGCAAGTCATTTTGAAAAAATAGAGCATTCTAAATATTACAAGGTTTGGTGTATTAGAAGAACTATAGTTAGGAGTTGACGATTGTAAATTCACTGATATGTTTTTAATGAACCAAGGAATGATAGAAATTAGAAAAAGGTGCAATTCCTTTTAGAAGTCTGTTGGACAGCCATTTTCTTTGATGATGATCAATGTCTGAATTCTGGAACAATTGCCAGCCTTTTGATTGCTCAAAGACACTTGTATTTCCATTGGAGCATTACGGTATGTGTATTTGCATAGACATTCATTAATGTTGCATTACAAGTCAAATAAGTTAGATAAATTGCATGAACTAGCTTTACAAATTTCACGAGTACCTCTAAACCCTTTTCCAGTATTTAAAAGTTCACTCCAAACTTGTTTGTTTACTAGAGTCTCTTTCATGATCTAAATATATCTTCATTTTTTTAATCTGAATTCTTTTCTCTTTTCTATCATTTGCAATGGAGCCCAAGATTCATTATTTTTTGGCTTGAGAATATGATGGAATAAAGCAAAATGGCTCACTAAACTGTCTGCGCTTCTTTGTTATGAAGCAGCAGTCAATCTATGCAATTTTGGACGCGATTTTCACTATGGGTCATCCGAAAACAGTCTCTCTGTGCTTTAGCACAGGGGTAAGACTGCGTACATCCGGCCTCCCTTACCCCACCGTAGGTGGGAGCCTTTGTGGCACTGGGGTAAATAAAAAAAAAGAATTCTTTTCTCTAATAAAAAATATGCAATAGTGTGATGCTCTTATATGTCAGAAACACTTTTAAGCTGTCATTCTATACTCGAATCTTTCCAATGCAATAACAAGAGTTCAAAGTGTGGGGGAATGTTTTTTGTCAACCAAAGTTCAAAGTGGAGTGGAAAATAATTCAGTGATTCAGTACAAAATGTATTGTTATGGTGATTGGTGATGCCACAATGCCACATAGGCATATATAAATAGTGCAGTCATATATGCAGTCTATGCTATTAAGTCATGTTAGGCCTGTTTCTCATCTGGTTAGTTCACTTGTCGGTTCATTCTTCCATCATTTGCAATGGAGCCAAAGATTCATTATTTTTTGGCTTGAGAATATGATGGAATAAAAGCAAAATGGCTCACTAAACTGTCTGAGCTTCTTTGTTATGAAGCAGCAGTCAGTCCATGCAATTTTGGACGCGATTTTCACTATGGGTCATCCGGAAACAGTTTCTCTGTGTTATAGTACAGGGGTAAGATTGTATCCATCCGATCCCCCCTTACCCCACCATAGGTGGGAGCCTTTGCGGCACTGGGGTAAATGAAAATGAAATGAAAAGATCATTAGAAATCTAATTTAAAGGCTTACGTGTTTCATGAAGGTAAATAATTTTCATTCCTAATTGATGCATCTTTTTTCAAAACCCTAAGGAATACTATCGTATATCATTTGGGATAAAAATATGCCAGGTGAATCTTTTCAATTGATGTTACATGTGGTAAAATTGGTCATATCTTAGTGTATGGATTATCCATTTGAACTTGTTTTTATATCAATAGAAATATAAATTAACATATGTCTCTTTGAATTTAATGATGAAAGTTTATTTCTTGCCCCACCGATCACATCCATTTCAATCAAAATATGTCTTGTAAATTTGTTCAATCATGTGGAATGGGGTAAGAATTCAATCATATCCAAAGTAGTTCATTACTATAGTATGATAGTGTGGCACTTGGTTCAATGTCATCTTATTTTTTTTTCTTTTATTTAAAGATCGAAACAAAATGTTGTCGCTTTAAATCATTCTTTTTTAATACCTCAAAGATCAAAATGATCCGATGTTTTTGAGTTTGAGTTTTAAATAATAATTTATATGAAGTGCTTTTTTCTACAACTTTCTACAATGCTTTTCCGTGAAAACTTCTACGCTTCTTAGTATAAGCACTTGTATGAACGAATAATTGTAAACCTGGTCAAAATCAAGGGCAGCAATTTATGAATCCAGTAAACTGATTTTGTAGGACCATAAGTGGGGCCGCCTCCGCCACCCCCCTCATAGGTCCTTTGGGAGAATTTAGAATGACAACTTGTTGTTTTACCTGAACTATACAAAACTGTTTAGATATCTTCAAAACTGTTGTGTTAAGGTCAATACTGTCACCATCCACTGTTTAGATATCCTTTGGGAGAATTTAGAATGACAACTTGTTGTTAAACTGCTTCTCAGCAATCACAAATCCTCAGAAGATGCGTGACTTTCTTGTTTCGTTTTATCGCTTAATAATGTCACCATCCACTGTTTTGTAGGACACTAGTGCACAGCAATCTTAATACTGCTATTATTGCCCCTTCTTTTATTTGAGTAATATAATGTGTGATAATATTTTATAGCTATCGTTGTTGTTTTGTGCCACCAGAAACCCAGTCGTGGGATCACTGATCCCATAAAAATGACAGACACTCCGCCTGAGAAAAAACAGAAGATTGGGGATGTCCTCACTACTGGGGATAACACAGAAGGTATTGAGATCCTACGACAGAAGTTGCACGAGTGGGGTCATTGGATGTATTATTACCAAACTTTTAACAAGGAGTTGGATTATAAGCCTCAGTATCAAATGCATGTCGTGTTAGCATCAGAATTTGATGCAAAGTGCTCATTCTATTCAAGCAATTTCAGTTTCTCAATGGATCCAGTGATCATTGGGGGGGTGAAACCCTGCTCCTATTCTGAGCTGGAAAGCATAACTGATTTCAAGGTGCCCTGTACCCCGTGTTTGAAGGCGTATGTAAGACGATTGTTCAGTGGAACAATTGACAAGGGCTTCGAGAAACGACCAGTGATTGTAAAAACATGGGACTTTCCCTTTGTTGGTGGATATTACTTTTATAACGTGCCAGATAAATTTTGTGTATGTCTGCGCAAAATATATGGATCCTTACTTTCGGTTTTCTTTCATGCGTTTGTGACATTTTTGTAGGAGGGCTTATTTGATAGTTCTGATCGAAGTTTCATTTTTGTAGGATCTGATCGAGTTTTACACAGACCCTGAAGTAAGAAACCATCCAAATTTGGCGAAGTTATCTATGTACTGCTACGAAAAAAGGCTAGCAGCTGTCTTTGACGAGAAATTTACAGTTGTCTTGTCTGAAATGCTTCTCGATGGTATTTTCAACTCCTCTCAGTCTAGTATGTTTAATGGGTGTATTTGGGAGCATGTCTTGCGCTTTTAGCACATTCCTGGAATCATTCCGGCCTTATATCTGTTTGTTAAATTGCCTCCTTTCTGTTTATCAGATGAGTTTGGGTGGCATGATCGGATATGGGTGGCAACTCAACTCGCAGAACTCTTGGCATGGTTGCATCGAAGGAGGATTGCAGTTGGCTCAGTTGAAGGTTCAAGTATTATGGTAGATGAGGTATGGGGTCGATCTGTTCTTTCGGATTGTTGCCGCACCACATAAAAATCTGAGGAGAAAAAATAAAAAATGAATTTGTTGCTTTTGTGGCATGCAGGAAATGAATATAAAGGTGCTTGGATTTGGCTGTGTTTCTCGTCACATAGATGAAGATTCTAAACTTCCAGTGAGTAAAACTTATTATAGAGAGGCTTATGAAGTTCTTTATGGAGGTGTGCCAATCTCTCTTTGACTCTCATTTCCTATTGTTTTATTGAGATTTAGGTATTGAAGTAGTAGAAGAAACAATAACTATGTTCTTTAAATCCTTCAGATGTGCATAGGACAATAGCTCATTACCTTGATCTTAATATTATGTTGTTAATTAATAATCACCATAACAATTCAGGTGTAAGGATGATGAAATCTGATGTTTTTGTATTCGGGATTCTACTAGTGGAGCTGATAGCAAAAAAGAAATACAGTTTTGAAATGAGGCCACACAATATAATAGAGGATGCGCAGGTTATGGCTGCAAATGGCAAAAAGGGGTTGGTTCATGAGTCATTCAAAGAGGTCAATGACGACACAGCCAAGAAGATTACGGACTTCACACTTTCCTGCTTGGATGAGGAACCAACGAACAGGCACAAGATGGCATATGTTTTTGAGTTTCTCGCTAATTTGAGAGGAATGAGCAACTGTAGTGTTTAAAGAATGTGTCTGCATCTATCTTCGTGTTTTCTTCATTTCCATCGTTTTCAGTTTTCACTGCATCTTGTCTTTGCAATTGAAGTTTGTGTAGTTCTAGTGTACTTTGAGTACTTGCACCTTAAAATCAAACACTTGAGAGAATTGGGCAACTGTAGACTGTAGTATTTAAAGAATGTGTCTGCATCTACCTTCGTGTTTTCTCCATTTCCACTGTTTTTACTTTTTACTGCATCTTCTCTTTGCAATTGAAGTTTGTATAGTTCTGGTGCATTTAGAGTACCTTATTAGTTGCACAATAAATCTAACACTGAGCTATGATGTAGGGTTTCAATTGGACGGAGGAACTATTCTTCTTTCTCTTGAAGCAATCCGTTAAATATAGAAGTAGGGATGGACCGGGATGTAGGGGTGGACTCGGGCCGGGCGGCCCGGCCCGGGGCCCGGTGGGTCCACCGGTTCGGTTTGGCCCGGCCCGGCTGCTGGGCGGTCCGGGCTCGGGCCTAGTTTTTGGTGAACCGGTTAGGCCCGGCCCGGCCCGGTTTGGCCCGGAACCGGAACCGCCCACCGGCGGTTCAGGCTCGGGCCCAACTTTCTTGGCCCGGCCCGGCCGGGCCCGGCCGGGCCCGAGGCGGGATGGGTTGGCCTGACCCAAAACCTGGCCTGGTCTATTCCTAATTCAGCTCAAATTTCACCCGATTTTTCTATTTAAACAGCCTGTAAACCCCCGTTTTTAAGGGGGGAGCTTAGAGAGAGTGCCTAGCACGAATTTTAGAGGGTTTTTCAGCCTTGTTCATCAATCTTTTGGTATTCTTTGTAAGTTCCATCTTTTTAATTAATGACAATTAATTCTATTCTTCCCAGTTCTATTGATTCTTCAATTATGAATTGTGAGTAGTTTAATTAGGGATTTGGGATTGATGAAGGGGTTGATCATGATGTATGGCTAGTTTCTTGATGGATTAATTGCATGAATGCCGTTTGATTTGTGTTTGAATAATTTAATTGATATCTTTTGTAACCTAGAATCGCGACTAGAATTACAATTGCATGTAGAATAAATTAAGAGAGATCTAATTTGTTCTAGGACACATTCACACACACTTAATCGTTCGCTAAGAGATTAGTAGCGATTAAGGGGCCGTAAGCTCGCTCGTCTTGGCAATAATTTAGGATCATGTCGCATGAGAGATCAGCCTGGTCCAATAAATTATTGTACTCTACGCCGCGAGAGCGGTAAGAACTTAGTAATGATTAGCTAGGCTCAATTAAATTAATTTCATGTAATTAGGCCTGATCTGCCAGAAATCTGGTTACCCCCGGAATCGATCCTTGTTCCCTTCGTCATTAATTAGAAAGAACCCCCTAGTTTAATCGTTTTATTCGCATTAGTTTAATTTTTCAACCAATCAATCTCGCACGACGCTTTTATTTTATTTTCTTTTTAATCGCTGAATTTAATTAATTCTTGATTCCCTTTTGTCCGTCCCTGTGGAGACGATACTCGTACTTACACCACTATATTACGATCTATTTTAAGTGCGAGAAAACTCACATGAGTAGCTGTCAAAAAAATTTGTATCATTACTATAATAGTAAAATATGGAAGCAGAAACACAATTTGGGCAGATCCTTTAACATGTCGTATGTACATTTTTTTTGGAAAAAGAGTATTATCAATTAACTGTTACTTAGGTAACTTATTTCAGACAAAGTGTTTAAATATCCACTGAACTTTCAAAGAAAGAGACGTCTTTCCTATTTGGACACATCAAAATTATTTTACTCCTGGTTTCTACTTCTATTTTTCGATTACAAGATTTGATAAGATAGCTTAGTTAGTTATTATGGTTTATATAGGATAAAATTCTTTTTCCTAATTCATCTATCTTGCTGCTTGTTGAATAAGTATGTTTCAGTAGTTCCCTTATTCATATATAGGAAATGCAAAAATATTCTGAAAATCTCGTTTAGGAATATCCACAAGTACATGGCAAATACAAATATCCATCGATCAAATGGTTCCACAATACCTCAACACGCCTTTTTTTAAACATAGAAAATCAAGCAAATTTTCTAAGACGGGAGCTGATTATACAAAATTCTCCAACAGAATTACAAGAGATAAAGAGTGTCCCAACATATATGGGCAAAACACTTACATGGCCAAAGGCGTGGCCTAAGTTCAAAGTGGCCCTCAATCCACTCTCTTTCTCATCCAATGACACCACCTCGTCCTTGTTTTGAACACTGACATTATGATTTCCATATGTTAGAACACTAATAGTGTTGTCCAGGCACATAGGGGCTACCGTAGTATGGAGTATTTGTTACTGTTAGAGCTCTTTTTCCATGAATACGGCTGTGAAGAAGCTCATGTTGATCCAGAACTCAAGAACCTATGTAAATCGGGTAGCTACAGTTACCCAAATTTGATTTCAACAATCGTTGGAACCCCACAAGATGAGGTTTTCCTCTTCGGAGACGGGTTGTCCATCAGGGGAACCGCGAAGACCTTCTCTGGGGCCACACCAATCGAAACTTTGGTAGCAATACATTTCCATTTCGGAAACTTTACAGAAACTCTTGAAATAAGTCTTTTTTGAGAAAAAATTTATGGTTCCCGTTTCCCGTTTCCTCATGGTTTTTGTATTTCCGTGCAATATAGAGTCTGGTGAATGGAGCTGAACATGTAACTTGTTGCTAGATTGAGTGTTAGCCATAATATGAATTGACATTTTGGACCAATAAATATTAACAATGTGGTCAATATATTTATATTCTGTAACTTAGGATATAATTTTTTTTTATTAATTTCGAAGGTTAGTTTCAGGTTTAATCAAACTTTTAGTTTGGTTTTTGTATATCTTAAGTTTAAGTAGTACTAATATGTTTGGACTAAGGCGTGAATGTTGTTGTATAAGATGAAATTACTTTATCATTGGATAGTAAGTCATACTTTCCAATATGCAATGGACTTGGGGTAATATGTATTTTGTTATATAATTTAGGAGATGTTTATCCGGAAACAATTAAGTACTTAGTTCATTTGTAATGAAAGTTTATGAAGCAAGTTCAAGATATTGAAATAATTAAAAGGTTGATACATGTTGTACATATTATTGGGCATTTTATCTATCACGCAACATCACACAACATGCGTGTTACGAAACTAGTAGTAAAACAAATGTGAGCATGTGAACCACGGTGAAACAGGTCTGCAATGAGACCACCATGATCTCTGGAGCCACCGCCCCTAATCTGCCGCTGCCAACCCCTCACCTGACGCCGCTGCCAACCCCTCACCTGACGCCGCCGCCAACCCCTAATCTCCCACCGCCGCAGAGCCCTCATCTGCCGCCGCCGACATCCGGTGAGTTCCCAATTGGTGCCGCTGCATCCCCCCTAGAATCCTCTAGAACAGGCCATGTGAGAAGATACAGACATCGAGGTGACTGGTGAGGCTTGTGCAGCACCACCGCCTTAATGGCCACTGCAAATGGTGGATGCGTCCCCTGCTCTTTACGGCTCTTCAAATTATATGCGAGTGCTACTTGTTTGATGTCTAGTGACTTGTTTGATGTGTGTTCTTATTGAGGCGGTGGTCCACATATGTAAAGTACTTGAGGGAGTGGTCTTTAAATATAATGGGCAATTAGTTTGATGAGTTTTTTGGAATAATTTGTTTGATGTTTTATGGTCATATATTTTTAGGGGTAATTTGAGTTTGCACCCAAATTATTATCCAAATTGAACTTTGCACTCTATTTTTAAAAAATTTTGTTTTTGCAACCCAACCTTGTATGAAAAGATAAAAATACCCTTGGATCATGATATGTTGAAGGTCATTAGAATTGTTTATGGAGATGCATTTTTGTCTTTTCATATGGGATTAGGGTGCAAAAACAAAGATTTTTATAAACGGGGTGCAAAGTCAATTTGGACAATAATATGGGGTGCAAACTCAAATTACCCCATATTTTTAATATTAGTGATAATTCCATTTTCAGTCGTAATATTGCCATCTTTCAGAATATTATTGCCATTTCGATGACCATTGGTTGGTGTAATATTACATATGGTCATCTTTAGAAATTAACTTCTATGGACGTACTACTCCATTTTTAGGGAATAACTCCTATTACCGCTATTAAGGGAAATTTTCTCATATTTTTAGGAAAGTATGAAAATAATGCCATTTTCATTGATTTTACTGCCATAAAATGGCAATATTGGTGATAACATCATTTTCGGGGTGAAAACACTGCATAAATTGCTTTAACTAAATTATATACTCCCTCTGTATTTAAAAGTTTCATACACTTTCCTCTTCTGGTAAGTTTTTCTTTTAAAAATACCCAATTACTAATACTTTTTCTACTTTTTATCCTCTCTTTCATACTTTTTCACCTTCTCTCCAACATTTTCTATACTATTCATTACTCCCGCTATTCTTCCTTAATTCTTGTGCCCAAAGTTAATGTATGGAACAAAAAAAATACGGAGGGAGTATCTTTAGACTAAATTAAATTAGTAAATTTGATAATCCCTCCCTCCGTATTTAAAATTTCCATGCACTTTTCTTTTTGGGATGTATCTAAAAGTTCCCTACACTTTCCCCTTTGGTAAGTTTTTCCTTTAAAAATACTCAATTACCCTTACGTTTTCTACCTTTTTATCCTTTCTTTCATACATTTTCACCTTTCCTCATATTTTTCCTATACTATTCATCACCCTTATTATTCTACCTTAAATCTTGTGCCATACCAAACGTAGCGAACTTTTAAATGCGGAGGGAGTATATAAATAAATATTAAAATATATTCCATATACTAATCCGTAACAAGTACTCCCTCTGTCCCTAAATAAACTTCCAACTTTCCTTTTTCGTCCGTCCCAATTAAAACTTCCATTTTCCCTTTTGGGCCAAATTTCGTGGTTTACAACAATTCTTACACATTTCCCTCTCATTTGCACAACTCTCCACCACACAATACCCTCTATCTTAAACTGTGTGCCAAACTTATTTTGAAGTTTAATCATGGACGGAGGGAGTAATAGATAAAATTTAGTTAATCTACGTATCTAACAGTTCCTTAACAATTTTGCATATACTCCCTCCGTCCCTTATAACTTTGCCAACTTTCCTTTTTTGGATGTCCCATTACTTTGCCACTTTCCCTTTTAAATAAAGAATTTGTGGTTACAGTTAATTCTATCTCCCCTGCACAAATCTCAACCACACAGTTTTTACTTTATTAATTCCCGTGCCAGTCAAACTTGGCAAAGTTATTAGGGACGGAGGGAGTATATTT